CGGCCTCGCGCTGGACGGAGAAGTGGTGCCTCGGGGCGCGCCCGGGATCCAAACCCGGGCCGCCAGCATCAGAGCGCGCGCACTTAACCGCTAAGCCACGGAGCCGGCCCTAACTGACTTTTTAATTTAATTTAATACCAGTCCAATCGCATCTAGAAAGCCTTCTAGAAAGGGGCAGGTGAAAGATGACGGTCTGAAATACCAGAATGGGAGTTGGGATCCATAGATCCCTGGAATAGGGAGTTATTGTAGATACTTGAACAGGAGCATGGCATGATTTAATTGATGTTTTGGAGGAGTAATCTGGAAGTGAGGCTTGGATTATTTTACGGGGAATGGAAATGATAAAACAGATGAACAGAATGGGACAACTCAGATAATACATCAATTGCTGCATAAATATAAAAGGTAGTTTGGTTACTATTCAGGTTTAAGATTTTATTGGCCTTAGGATATAGTCTCAGACTCCATTCATTCATTCAATGAGCACCTACTATTTGCTAGTGATATAGTGGTGGAAAAGACTCAGGGTCTTCCTTCACAGAGCTTATGTTCTAGTCGGGGAGACAGAAATTTAACAAGTGAACCCACAAATAATGAACTATTATTGAAATGTGCTACCAAAGTAAAGTACAGGACACGATAAGAACACACAATAATGGGTCTTCTTTTTTTTTATTGGGGAGCACTCAGGTGTTTAAACACAAGACAATAAAAATGAGGATCTTGAATAATATTTGTACACTTTTCATTAACTCATTTGGCCTCCACAACAACCTAGTAAAAGTGATATTATGCCTAGTTGACTCAACATTATTATGATAACTCTGTAAAATATTTGCTGAGTGCCCACTATACACGGGGCTCTGTTCTAGGAGTACAGCATACAGCAATGAACAAGACAGATTAGGTCCCTCTACTTCTGAGACAATCAAATATATTCCCCCACATATGGGGATTCATCCTATTTCTTCTCTTATGGGAACTATAACTTCCCAGGGTTACAGATTAGTAATTGTCATACCTAAAGACTTAAGATAGTGTGTATAAAATACTTTCAATAGTGCCTGGCAGGCAGTAGATGCTCAATAAATGCTACTGTTAGAATTGATGTTATTATTACAACGCTTAATCTCATGTCCTTTTTGGTCCACTGGACTTTATCTCTTGAATTAAATTCCATACACACTTATTACAAGCCTATCATGGGGTTGATATACTCTTTCATGGAAATTATGAGATCAGTGAAGAAAAACTTTTAATATTGTTTAATTCTACCCTCCACACTTACAAGCTGTGTGACCTTGGATATGCATCAACCTCTGTAAGCCTCAGTCTCCTCGTGTTGAAAAATTATAATAATACCTATCTCAATCAGCTGTTGTCAGCAAAAGTGGGCAATAGAGTGGAGAGGTCAATAAATGTTAGCCATAAAGCATAACTATTCTACCTCTGAAAAACAGACGTTGGGTTAAATTGAAGTATGCTTTCAAATTAATGTGAAAGACTAAAGAATGAGAATTTTTTCTATCAAATCAAAAAATTAACAGGCATATTTAGACCACTGATGGGGAAAAATGAGGAAAATTTCACACTTTAATTAAATTGAAAGTGTTTTCAACGGCAATTTTTAATTTAAAACAATGTGAGTCTTCCTCCACTTTAAGATGATCTGCTGAACCTGCAGAAAAAATGAGTAGGGAGAAAGTTCATTGGGAGCTCTTATAGAATTGGAAATTATCTAAAGGCAGAGTATCCGCCACCTAGAGTTCCAACAGGTAAGAGAGATGAGGTGGATTCTTTTCTTAGAGCAGAGATTCAGCTGTGAAACAGGTTTATGGTATGAGGTGAAATAGCCAATATGTGAGATAACTGTTATGGTCCCTTTACATATATTATATATACAAATTATTATATATGATATATACTTACATACATAACGTATTATATGTATATAAAAATAACCTCTGGTATATAACTTTTAAGCAGATGTACAAAGATAATCATAGTAGCATGAGTTATTTAACTCATTTTTAAAACACCGATAACATGTTACTCCACGTTTGGGTCTTGATATTTTTCTCACGAAACTATTGGTGGTTTGGGGACTGAATCCACGGAAGACATCTGATTCTAGTACTAGAGACTTAGAAGGTGGAGAAACTGGCAAGTAGGCAATGTAGCGTTCTCGGAGTAAATTCTCCTTTAGGGTCCACCATGAGCACCCAAGGCAAGGGCCTCCTTCTAATTGACTTGCTCCAAGGGAAAGGAAAAGAGGAGTCACCACTTCTGGATCCACAAGGAGCTTCTGTTAATAACTGGATTGTTGAGCGCCCTTCATAAAAACTCTACCGGCTGAGGTTCTACGTTGGCAAAGTTTTTGCTTCTCTTTCCCGAGGCGGCGAGCGTCGCTTCCTTTGCCAAGATGGCGGCCCAGAATCGTCTGGAGGCTGCCCGTGTAGATCGTCTCCGGACAGGCAGCTTGCCAAAAGCCTACTCCTTTCCTTTCATATGGGTCGACGCATGAGACAGCGTTTACTCTTCAGAACCGAAGAAGAACGATTTCGGCTGCCCGCGATCTAGAACCTTTGCCAAGATGGTGGACGCGCGGCCGGGCGGCGTCACCGTCCTTTACCAAGATGGCGGCGGCCGGCTTCCGGCATGCGCTTCCCCAATCCGCTTCAAGATGTCAGAGCGCAGGCGGCGGCCGCCAGAGGCTGAGCGCGGCCTGAGGAGAGAGTGGCTGCGGCTGAGCGCCCGGCCAGGGACTAGGTGGAGCTGCGGCAGCCTCCGCCCCCGTCGGGAGCTGGCAAGCGCTGTCACCTGTGGGGGCGCATAAGTTACCTCCCCAAATCCTAAAGCAACACTGCACAACTTTTCCCCGAGTCACAAAAATCATAATATGTGCCGCACAAGGTAGGAGGCTCGTCCCGGCGTCGCCCAAGCCCTCCGGCCGCGGCGAGCTGGGGAAGCGGGCTGGGGAGGGGGCCTCCAGCGAGGACACCCCTCGCCCCACGCTCCTGTCCTTGGGGACAGGCCACGTGTTTCCCTCGGACTGAGGGGGAGGTGCGTAACAGGAACAGCTGGACGGAGTTTAATGCTGACATTTTAAAGCTGCGTGTGTTTTATCTGGAGGGGCAGGGGTCCCTTGACCACGAAAGGGTGGACGACGCCTGGAGCGCAGCAAAATGTCAAGATTCGGGGGAGGGGCCTGCACGGGAAACTCGGACGCGGGCCCCGAGGGGCTGGAAGGAGAGGTCAGGAGTTTGGGAGGTGGGGGGCGGAGAGGGCGTACTTTGCAAGCAACTTACTATTTCGCTGCAACTTGCTTTTAGGCCTGCCACCCTCTACTTTCCTTTAAAAAAAAAATTAAAGTGCAAAGAAATCCAGCTCGCCGGAGGTTTTGCATTTGGCGTGCAACTTCCTTCAAGTGTGAGCGCGCTGGGAGGGAGGGGTGGGGGTTGAACTTGGCAGGCGGCGCCTCCTTCTGCCGCCGCCGCCGCCTCGCAGACTTGGGGAAGAGGGTGGGGGACGGTCGGGGCGCGGGGGAGGGTGGGTTCTGCTTTGCAACTTCGCTCCGGTGCGAGAGCACGGCGTCGGCGGCTGCAGACAGGGCCGCCCAGACCATGCGGGGGTGGGGGACCTGCCGGCACGCGACTCCCCGCCGAGCCCAGAGTACGTATGCGCCGACCCCTCCGCTGCCCTCCCCTCTTTTAAGCTTCCTCAGAGGGCGTGTCTGGCCGTCCGACCCCGAGCGCGGCCGAGACGCTGCGGCACCGTGCTGTGCAACCCTGTAGCCCCGTGCGAAGTGACACGCTTCGCGCAACTCGGACCCCGGGACGGCGGCGCGGACCACCCCCGCGGCTCTGCTGCGGGCCGCGCCCCGGCGCCCCTAGCCAGCCCGCTGTCACCCGCAAGGGGCGCTGGCGGCGCTTGCCGCCGAGGGACAGGGCAAGCTCCCGAGTGGGTCGGGAGTCGCGGAGCTGGGCGGGGGCGGGAAGGAGGCAGCAAGAAGGGAAACTAGAGAAACTCCGCTTCCCTCCTAAACCCGCCCTAGAGAGCCCAGGTCGGCCTCCGCCGCGTCTCCTTTTTCCTGGGGAATGGGGGGTGGGCGAGGAGCAGCCCCGCGCGCTGAGGGCGGCGGGCTGCATCGCGGAGGCAGCGCCGGGGCTGCGGGCGTGCGGGCGCCGTCGGGGCCAGGGTGGCGGGGACCCCGCTGAGGGCGTGGGGGCGGGGGCCGCGGTCGCCCCTGCAGTTGCCGAGCGTCGCCAACAGGTTGCACCGTTCCCCGCCGCCGCGGCGCGGCCCCTCGGGCGGGGAGCGGCCGGGGGTGGAGTGGGAGCGCGTGTGTGTGCGAGTGTGTGCGCGCCGTGGCGCCGCCTCGGCCCGCCCCCCGCTCGGTCCCGCTCGCTCGCTCGCCGCGGCCGGGCGGCCCTTTCGCGTGTCCGCGCTCCCTCCCCTCCTCCTCCTCCTCCATTTTGCGAGCTCGAGTCTGTGACTGGAGCCCGAGTCACCGCCCGCCCGTCGGGGACGGATTCTAGTGGGTGGAAGGAGACGCCGCAGCCGGAGCGGCCGAAGCGGCGGGGCGCCGGGACGGAGGACGCGCGCCCGCGAGCCCTGGCCCGCCGAGATGGGCGGGGGGCTGGCGTGTCAGCCGGGAAATGGGAGACTTTCTTAAATAGGGGCTCTCCCCTCCCCCCGTGGACAAGGGGGCGGCTGTTTACTTCCTTTTTTTAGAAAAAAAAAATCTCCCTTCTGCTCCTCCCGCTTTCACACGCTAAGTTGTTTATCTCCGCTGCGGTGGGAGCTGCGGACGGTGGCGGGTGAGCGGCGCCTCTGCCGGAGGTAAGAGGCGGGGTGGGCGGGGGGCTGGGGCCCGCGCCGCCGCTCGCGCCCCCAGGTGCTGGCCGGGGACGGGGGCCCGGCTCGGGGGCCGCCGCGGGAGCCTGCAAACTTTTATTAGCTTCGGGGAGTGAGGGTGGGGGCCGGCGAGGGCCGAGTGACGGTGACGAAAGGGCAGCGCGAGGGTGACAGCGCTGGCCTCTTCCTCCCCCTCGGCCGCCGTTCCCCGGCCGGTCCGAGGGGGAGGAACCAGAGCTCTCTGCGAGCGGAGCCTCGTCGAGCCGCCCCGGGTTTCAAGCCTCTCGCTCCCTGGCGCGGAATCCTGGCCTCTGTTTTTTTTCTTTCCAAGTCCTGTTTCTCGGCCCCCCCCCCAACGCGGGGGCCGCCCAGACACTCATTTTTATGGTGAACGTAAGCCGTGTCTGAATTCTACTCGCCCGAATATTTCCACTCCACCCTAGTGCGCCCGAGCGCGATCAGGGTTTGTGTCGAGGCCCCAGCGCGTCTCCTTTCTGGCGGGCGCGCTGTGTGTGTGTGTGTGAGTGAGTGAGTGTACACACGCAGGGGGCTGACAGCCTGCAACTTGGAGACTTCGGCCAGGGCTGGCGTTATCTGGTAGAAGTGGGCGTGTCGGAGAACTCAGCGGGTCTGGACACATTTCTTTTTTATCGTCGCACTTTTTTCTACCCCGGGAGAGGGTTTTTCTTCTTTAGCGCTTGGCATCGTTTCGAGCGTGACGTTTCTAAGTGGCCCTTTTTAGAAAAAGACTCTCCCTAACCGTTATAGTTTTGTGTGACGATTTTTGACAAGCGGTAGTTTGACGTTTGAGGTTGCAGACTTGATAATTGCAGCCTTGTAATAGCACTTAAGGTCCCTTGGCATGGTTTATTAAGGCCAATTAATGTGACAGGGTCATTTGCAATTTAAACTGGGGGATAAAGGTGTTTAAGGGATCGTTTCGTTTTATGAAGTTTTTGTTTTGGTTTCGAGTTTGAAGGCAACTGTCAAAGCAGCATGGAAATGCATTAGGCTCCATTTGATAGCCTGTGTTTAGAGATCGTTATCAGATAAACACCGCAGAGGGGTGGGGAGATAAGCACCCTCGCGTTTTGTAGTGGCAGGTCCCCACCCCTCTTTCTACGTTCCTCACACTCCACTTGCAGTAAGGGCCAGAGACGTTTATGCTTCTTAAAGTTTGCGTACAGGAAAAGTTGCCTTTCATTGGACGGGATTTGATTATAATGTGGCAAATGTGTTTATCGAAGTTTTTGCCTGCCTCTTGAAACATCCTGATTATTAACAATAACTAGCAACCTAATCCTCTTGAGAATCGGCTCACACTTGGGATAGGTGACGATTTAGAATTCGGAGAAAATTATTCTGAGCATTTTATTGGATATTATTTTACCTGGATTTATACGAATGTGATTTTAAGTTCCGGGTTTTTCTAGTTTTCAGTACTTCGATGTTTGGAAAGGAAAGATCTTAATTTAGAGATATAATAGTATTTCGTACTGAGGGTCTTAAGCAGTTAAAAATGTAGCTTCATTTAGATCTTATTGTGTTGTAAGGGTTGCGAGCACTATATTTGTTATATTTAAATAAGCTAAAATTGTAGTGAGAACCTACTACATATTCTATTCTGCTTTTTAAAATCTAAATTTTAGTTGGCCTATATACAAAGTATTTCATTTTGTATGCCCAAAGTTTGAAGGCAGGCATTATTAGATAGGCACATTTGGTAAGAAATATGGGTTAAAAAGAAGAGCCTTTTCCTAGCCTATTGGAAGATGAGCAGAGCATCATTGTGTATTTTTCAAATAAAGTGTGTGTGCTTCACCAGTAGATTGTACTAAAAGGATTGAATGTGTAACTAGCTGGTAGGATGGGAATTTGGGAGTGATTAGAGATAGAGAATTCAGGAATAGTATTTATCAAATTTTGTGTGTATTGGTTTTCAGAAAAGCAAACAGCCTTGATTGAAAAGAGGTAGGAATTTTAATGGTCATACTTTTTTTTTAAATTAAGTACTTTGACATCAACTTGAATCTTTAGAATAATCAGAAATAATGAATTATAATGTCTCTGATTAAGAAAGTGACAGTTCTGTGAGTGGCAGCATGAATAGTCAAGCTTAGTTTGATACAGTTTTGTCCTCAGCTGTGCAAATGGACTTCATTGTGCTTTTAAATGTGGCACACGGAATGGGAGCAGGGGACACAGCTTTTTTATTTCTGGAGACAGAAACTACTCTTCTGATAACAAGAAATTAGATTCGGAGTTAACTAAAAGGTTCATTTAACAGGCTTTTACTAATCGGATCAAGAGATAATGTGACTTTATAGCTTATTATGTTTCCCCCATCTCTTTTTTTTTTTTATAGCTGATATTCACCGATGGACTCCAAGGAATCATTAAGCCGGCCCAGTAGAGAAGAAATCCCCAGCAGTGTGCTTGGTCGGGAGAGGGGAAATGTGATGGACTTCTATAAAACCCTAAGGGGAGGAGCTACTGTGAAGAGTTCTGCGTCTTCACCCTCACTGGCTGCTGCTTCTCAGTCAGACTCCAAGCAGCAGAGACTTTTGGTTGATTTTCCAAAAGGCTCAGGAAGCAATGTGCCGCAGCCAGATCTGTCCAAGGCAGTTTCACTCTCAATGGGACTGTATATGGGAGAGACAGAAACAAAAGTGATGGGAAATGACCTGGGATTCCCACAGCAGGGCCAAATCAACCTTCCCTCTGGGGAAACAGACTTTCGGCTTCTGGAAGAAAGCATCGCAAACCTCAATAGGTCGACCAGTGTTCCAGAGAACCCCAAGAGTTCAGCGTTCACTGCTGTTTCTGCTGCCCCCACAGAGAAGGAGTTTCCAAAAACTCACTCTGATGTGTCTTCAGAACAGCAAAATTTGAAGGGCCAGACTGGCACCAACGGGGGCAATGTGAAGTTGTATACCACAGACCAAAGAACCTTTGACATTTTGCAGGATTTGGAGTTTTCTTCTGGGTCCCCAGGTAAAGAGACGAATGAGAGTCCTTGGAGATCAGACCTCTTGATAGATGAAAACTGTTTGCTTTCTCCTTTGGCAGGAGACGATGATCCATTCCTCTTGGAAGGAAACTCGAATGAGGACTGTAAGCCTCTTGTTTTACCGGACACTAAACCTAAAATTAAGGATAATGGAGATCTGATCTTATCAAGCCCCAGCAGTGTGCCATTGCCCCAAGTGAAAACAGAAAAAGAAGATTTCATCGAACTCTGCACCCCTGGAGTAGTTAAGCAGGAGAAACTGGGCCCAGTTTACTGTCAGGCAAGCTTTTCTGGGGCAACTATAATTGGTAGTAAAATGTCTGCCATTTCTGTTCATGGTGTGAGTACCTCTGGGGGACAGATGTACCACTATGACATGAATACAGCATCACTTTCTCAACAGCAGGATCAGAAGCCTATTTTTAATGTCATTCCACCAATTCCTGTTAGTTCAGAAAACTGGAATAGGTGCCAAGGATCTGGAGATGACAACTTGACCTCCTTGGGGACTTTGAACTTTTCTGGTCGATCGGTTTTTTCTAATGGCTATTCAAGGTAAGATTAATGCTTTTTTATTTCTTAAGAATGGTACATACTTAGACTGATAGATTTAAATCTTCATTTATTTGTGTGTGTTCTCCAGTGATTCGTGTGCTTTTTCATGTGAATAAGTTTAAGTGGTCTTTTGAAAGTAGGCATGCATAGTAGAGAACCTAAGCGATTTATCTGTACATAACCATTTCAAGTTTTTTCCTGAAATAATGGTATTCAATATCCCATTGGCTAGTGATTAAAGATTTTATTTAAAAATTTAAAATAGTATTGCTCATTAACAGGTATCTTAAGAAAAAATTGTATAAATTCAAGGGAGTAGAATGTCTGGCAATATATGTATTGTGCATGTTCATTTAAGCTGTTTTAGAATATGCTCTTACATTCCAATGAAAACTACTCTTAATACTTTACATAATCAAGACTTGTGCTGCTGTATTTGTACGTTTGTGAAGTGTTAGCTTGAGGAGACTAAAGAGTTAAAAATTAGACGAAGTAACAATGAGCCCTTTTCTTCAAACTGAACCTTCTGTTGAAAAATTTGAGTTTTGAGATTGCTAAAGCAATGCAGTGAACAGTGTTACCTATCCGTAGTGTTAGACGTGGGACTTGCCCGCAGGGCTCCCGACCTAAAGGAGACAAGTTCTATCTGCTTGCTGATCCATCTCTTTAAGAAAGGAATTGATGGCAATGTGGTGCAAAACAAAATTTTACTTTCAAATGTTCCTACAAGTTCTCAGATAGATGATGGCCGCCATTGTTAAGCTTCAATTCTCAGCTATAGTTTGATTTGTTTCCGTCTTCTTTTTTCTCAGTCATTTATAAGTACACTGACATTTCTGATTCACCTCAAAAAGGTCTGTTAAAATAGAATTACCAGGAAAAAGTTCTAAATTTAGATGTATCTGTTGGTAGAGGTTAAGTTCTGTACCCCATACCTGCACCCCCAATTCAGATAAATACTGGATTATATATCACATTTTAGGTGTGAAGGAAAATATAACAATGTGATTGTAGAGACACAAGATTGATTAATCAGTGGTTTTTTTTTTAAAGGCATCACAGATACTGTGATTTATTTGTACATAACCATTGCAAGTTTTTTCTTAAGTGTTAGTGATAGTCATTGTTGCCATTAACTAGTCATTGAAGATTTTGTTTAAAACTCTCTTTAAAATACTTTTTCTATTAAAGGTATATCCTAACACTGAGGTGTCACTTTTCTTTCCTGTTTAAGTAGGAAGCTTTTCTTGTTGGGGGAAAAATATAGACTTAGATTTAGGCTATGTTCTATTCCTTTAAAAAGCTTAGTTATTTCTTACCAAAAGAAAAGAAACCTTGGTTCTTGTGTGTCTTAATGTAAACTACCTATAATCTATTATTTATATAATATCTTTTATTTAGAAGAACACTACTTCAATTTTTATTGCTGTCATTCCTAATTGAAGGTTTAGAATGTTTTCAATAAGGAGATTTGAGATGTTTCTTATCGCATAAGCTGTTGTGTTTAAATGTTAACCGACATGCTGTGTTTTAAATTTGTCAATCTCAAATTTTTGGCAATGGAATTCATGATTGAATGTGGTTGGTTGTCTAAAAGTGTAAGCATGGTTGATTTGACTGAGCTATCTGTAGAAAACTATTACACTGATTTATAAAACATGTAATTTTGTACAAAGAAAAATAATATATCTTAGGAAACTCTTGGGGATTATTAATGCATTTTGTTCTGATAATCACCATGGTATTGTTTTCATTTTCCTTACTATAAAAAAGGCCTGGAACAAGACTTATTTTCCATTCACACTGAACTTTCATTAAGCCCTATAAAATCTGGGATCTGGAGCATAAGTCTTAAATGAACATAGTTACCCTTAAATCATTAAAGATAATTTTAAGACCTTTTATAGTAATTTATGACATATAAAGTGTCTTCACATATTTTTAATTTAGTCTTATAACAACCTTATGACAGTAGGCAAAGCAATGATGATGTGGCTCTTTCGAGATTCTTTAATATCCAATGAAATGATTATTTTTATGCGAATTTGTGATTTGGAATTATAATCAGTACCTTGTGTCCTAATGAGAAAGTGTAATATCTTACACAGGATCATTTGGTAATGTTTGAAAATTTTATACCTTTGGCAATAACTTCGAGAACTACAATTACCCAGAACAAAGCATCTTCCAAATAAATTGAAACAATGTTTCTTTTCTAACCATCACTGAATTAGTCTGTTGTTTCCAAACAAAAGCCGTGATATAACTAAAATTAGTTGCTTTGTCTTTTCTATATGTTACATGGTTCTAGCCAAACATTAGCTATGACCAGTGACCCTGAGTGATCAGCAGATAAATCAACATGTTGAGACCACAACTGTCTTAAATACTGACTTTCTGACTTTAGATGTAAAAATATTAAATACCACTAATAACTTCACTTGCATTCCTTTTAAATTATAAAAAAGCATAAATTATAATTTGACTTTTTAAGATATCACCTAAAATGCTTTTTCTCAGAATGCTTAAAAAAGAAGAAACACGTTACACTCTGTTTTGGGTGGGAAGACAACTTTTTCTGATGTGTCAGTATAGCACAACATTCAGTTATCACATTAAATTTCAAAATTATGACTATCATGATTGAGCATCATAAAGTATTTTCTTTTTAAGGTTTAAGTTCATTGATAGTAAAACAAGAGAAACTTTATTGATACTCAAATACATTCTTTAAGTAAATGGACTAGCCATTCTAACTTAATATGCCTTTTAAATACTGAAATTCAATAAATTTAGCATCAACTTGTAACATTGACGAAGGCACATTTCTGCATAATATGATCTCCAGCATTGTTTCACTTCAGCATTAATGGTGAAACCGCTGAAAAGAGGTAGAGAAGTAAACGGTTTCAGGTGGAATTAGAGCTTTTATTGGGATCATGTTGAAACTTCAGTGATTAAAAAGTTGACCATTTTCTAAAGGGTGGGATTATTGGAAAGGAAGAATGATGCAAATGAATTTGTAAACTCAGTCTGAGGTGGAGTTTAAAGCTCTGATGATTGGCACTAAATGAAGCTACAAAAATTTATGTACATTTTAATATCTCATTAATTTCATCTGTGTCTAATTTTATTAATGTAATAAAATTGAAGACCTGTACAAACACGGATGAGGGAAGCAAATTCTTTCCCTTTCTCATTCTTCTTATTAACATCGTGTTGAATGTTTTCTCAGAAAGAGGAGGAATAAGGAAGAGATTTTGTTTTATGATGGATAATAATCATTTTTAATGATTACTATTTTTAGTAATCATTTAAATTTTTTAATGGATACTTTTTAATGCATACTTTCTTTACTTCCTACCTTTTCTCTTTCCTCTCCTTCCAAAGATTCTGGCAATGAGTGTTCAGTGTCTCTCTTACGCTTAATATTTCTGGTATTCGCTCATATAAAATGATTTCTGAATGTTAAAGGAGATTTGCTTTTGGTTATTTATTTACTTATTTATGTTTAGCTTTATGATAACCTTTTTCTTTTTTTTTAAACCCTGTACTTTGTTATGGCTATATTATTAGTAAAAGAAAAAAAAGATAAAACACACTGTGTATTCAGGTGTGTCGATTTAATATGGAATGACTCCGATACAGAAATATGTGACTAGCATATGGTCAGATTTTATTGAAATTACTTCTTGTGATGTTTCCTTGGCTATTCCATTATATTTTTATAATTGATAACATAATTTCTATTGCAGTGCTGTTTTGGTTTTGTCTATTGGTGTTACAGATATTTTAGTTTGACCACTTTTAATATATTATTGAATGTTTATAAATTTTATGGAAGACTTATTCTGAAACATACCTTACATAAATGTAGGTTAAATGCGAATTATATTAGTGAAATTCGTATGTGGGTAGAGATCACTTTAGAGGCCTTTTGCGATTTTAGTGAAGGAGAGATTGGATCAAAAGGGTTTTTTTAGTATCAGTGCCTGATGTGAAAGGGCATCTGTATTAACTGGTTGGCTATATAAGTCTTAATCCACTCTGGCCTGCAGGTGATTGGAACAGCCTAGTTGTTAGGAAATCTTAACTTACATTAGGTTTAAAATAAGTTTGGGGCATATTTCTTAAAACACATTTTTTCTTACTTTAAAGATCACACCTAATTTTAATTAGCAGTGAGTTCTTATTATGTGCTACTACTTAGGTAAGCAAATTAAAATAGGTTTGTGCTAAATAGCATTTACCCTTGTGAGGACATCCTGATAATTGTGTAATGTAGTATTTACAGGTATTTGCCAAATTAACGGGAGCTTGCTTCCATATTTCTGAATCATGGAAAACACATATTGGTGAATCATGCTGCAAAAGAGTTTTCAAGAAATATTTTGTTGAATTAAGCTATAACTGAAAAAAAATCAATTACTTATTAACCTTTATGTAAGGATTTAAAAGCCCATGCTCTCCTTATTTCTGTAGTTTCAGAGATCCAACTGCTCTCATTTTTTTCTGGCTCATTCTACTTGGGTTTTATATTTTTCAAGTAAATAAAAATATTCCTATGGAGAGCTTCCATTTAAAAGAAAAAAGAAGATATTAAGTGTTCCTTTCCCTTTGAATTGTGTATGATCCTTTCTGTGCTAAACTGGAGAAGAGGGTGACTTTTTTTTTTTTTTTGGTGAGAAAGATTAGCCCTGAGCTAACATCTGTTGCCAAACTGCCTCTTTTTGCTGAGGAAGATTGGCCCTGGGCTAACATCCGTGCCCATCTTCCTCTACTTTATATGTGGGACGCCTGCCACAGCATGGCTTGATAAGCAGTGTTTAGGTCCATGCCTGGGATCCGAACCTGCGAACCCTGGGCTGCCAAAGCACAGTGCATGGACTTAACCTCTATGCCACGTGGCCGGCCCCAAGAGGGTGACTTTTAATGGTGATTTTTGTACTCATTTTGCACATTAAGGTATATCTTAGAAAATATGCAACTTTATAGCAGTT